TTTGACAGCCTCAGGCCTCACGGCAGCAAAAAGGCACAGAGCCACATATATGTGATATGTGCCATCAAGCTGGTATTAGTTTGCCCGCCTCCAACAGCCGTCGAAGCTTTGGGACACTGCGCCTGGAACGTTGAGGTCATCACGTTGCTGACCACGCTAATGTGGCTGATTGTGCATGGATCTCAGCAGGTGTGTTCAGGAACCACACCTCCCCCTATATATTCCTATTTTTTGAAGACACCTATTGAGAGAATGGACAGGGATATTTTCTCAACTTATTGCTCAAAAGCTTTGAGATGCTTTGAGTCATGAGGCATCTCCCTGATGTGTTGAGGCCTGTTCTGACAGATGTGCCGATGCTGGATATGCATGGCACTCAGAGTTGTCTTTGAGCGACAAGCAGCTACAAACTAAAAGAGGATCACTAGGGCCTAGTGGCACCGCCACAGACTAGTCATGAATTCACACAGGCTGGTCTTGCTAACGATCGCGATCCTGGCTCTGCGGGTCACTATCTAAGACTTTGAGACAAAGCCGTGCATTTCATCTGTTAAGAAATTTATAAGCCCATTTATCGATAGAGGAAAAGCACACCCCAATACTGGTTAGCAGCTGGACAACATTTGACAGTACTGGCTATGAGGGAATGAGCGATTCTAAAGAACAATTTATTTTTGGACTCCGCATTCGTTCGCTTAGTAGAAGAGACAGCACTTTTTGTTCTTTGAATCTTTTGAATCCAGTGTTCGATCAATTCTCGCATATGTTTTTATATTGACAATCTCTTCACTTTGCACTTACTAGAGCTACTTGAGCTGCAGCGCCATAGGAAGGCAGTAGTCGTTTGCTCCCAAGATGGCCTCTTGGGCTGTCAACTTTTCCACTCCTTGCAGTTTTTCCCTTTCCGCAGTTGATGGCTTTTGCATCAGTGCCACGTGCATTCAACATCATTCAACTAGGTAGCGGCGGAAGCGGTATGAAGTTTCTATATAATACAGTGTCCAAGGTCTTCCGGAGCCTGGCCCTTCTGACAGCATGGCTCCTGCCGGACACCCACAGTCTTCGGTGCTCCGAAATGGGAGACGGTCTCAGACAGTCACGACTCACCAGGCTCCGTCCCAACCTGGACTGGAAGCAAATGCCTGAGCGATCGGAAACAGAGCGATCGGCCAAACAGGCGCATCGGTCACTTAGCAGTACCCATATGAGACACCATGAGACACCACAGCAGAGAAATGGGACAATTTGTCATGTTCCTCATGAGCAGACGCCCGCTAGGGTGTTGACGCTTAGTTTGACGAGTGGTTGTGACAGACACTCGGAGATTTTGTCCACTTTCAGGGCCTCGAAGGACTAGCAATACATTTTGATCAATATAACTTATAACTATATTGCATACACCAGCCGCACCAGTGAGAAAGGCTGTTCATTAGAATTGTTCCGAACAGACTCCAGCTGCCTTTATCTGCAGATTTATATAATTTGTTTTGCGCAGGCTGCTGCTCGAACAATGCATCGATATGACATGGTGGTTGAATACTTGTGCCTTGCCTGCATTGCGCAGCAACTGGAGTTGCATAGGACTGTAAGCTTCGATTTTTATATTTGAAGATGCGATGAGGGCGCAGGGCGCAAGCTATACTTTGATCACAAGAGAGCTTGATTTGCATGGACTCTTTTGTCCAGGTATGTCAACATGATGGGCCATCAGCCAATATCCCAGAATGGATTGCAGACAGACAATCGAAGAACATGTGTACTTTGGGCACGTCACATACTATATCTCGAAAGTGCCTTGTGACATTCCAGTGAGCTGGAAATTGATGGAAATTGCCATTTGCACACCTTCAAATCCAGAGAGAGAGAGAGGCAGCCTCTCTGGCATTTCGCTCAAGGCTTCATTTGTATGCGGCAGTGGCGATCCTTCTCATTAACCTGGTGGAACACTTGGAATTGCTTTTGAAGGTGGTCATATGAGAACTCTTTTCTTGCCAGCACTTCTGTGTTAGGCAATATAGATTCTCTCACATTTGTGCTCATCTTTAGGAGAAACTCCAGCTTTCACTGCGCATACTTACGTAACGAATTGAAGCAAACCCTGGCAAACAACAGCCTTGCCTTTACACATCCAGCGAAGCTTTTATGCCTATTTATACCAACTGTTTTATACAAAAGGCATGACAAAAGGCACGGACACATAGCTGAGCTATACCGACGCTCATTGACATTGGGCCAACAAGACGCCAGACGCTGAAAAACGACGTCCTCTAGGCATCAAGCCACACTAGCAGCATGCATGGCCGGGTCAAGAAGGATGTCGTGGAGCCTACCGCCGAAGAGAAAGCAAAGCAGAGGGAGCAAGTTCGCACAGCGCGCAGCCTCTTTGCAAAGCTTTTGGATCTAAGACAGAGCCAAACATACAATGATCAAGCTTTGGAGATGACCTTTAAGGCTCTCCAATTCCATCCGGAGTTCCCAACCTTGTGGGGCTACAGACGGGAGCTTCTCACCCGTACAGAGAAGCCCCTTGAGGAGTTGTTGAAGATGGAGATGAAGTTGGTCGAGAAAGCATTGAGAAGATCTCAGAAGGTGTACTCCATTTGGTTTCACCGAAAATGGGCCATCGAGCGCCTTTTCCAGGAGGTGGAGGGAGATGAGGCAAAAGCACAAAGTCTTCTGAACACAGAGCTTGAATTGTGCAATCAGCTCTTGGAGGTTGATGAACGAAACTTTCACTGCTGGAACCATCGTATGTATGTGATGGATTTAATGAGGACCAAGGGTAAACACGACCCAAATCAAATGGATTTGAATGCCATTGACTTGACACTCAGCACAGATTTGATCAACAAGAACTTCTCGAATTATTCTGCCTGGCACTTGAGAACGCTGCTCCAACAGCCTGTAGCCGGAGAAGAACCGCGAATCAAACTCAATCTAGAAGAAGAACTGGAATGGGTTCAGCAAGGAATTTACACAGAGCCAAATGACCAGTCTGTATGGCTCTACCACCAGTGGCTGACTCTTGGTTCAACATCACCCGAAATCATTCATTGTGCCGTTCTTCAAGGAGAGCTTTACATGTTCTTTTCCCAAGCCTGCAGACTTACCTCCACTTCGTTGAACGGCTCCAGTGGCCGGTTCGAAGCCATCCTCCCGCGAAGGCGCTCGACGGCCCGTGTGCGCAGCTGGGCCGTAGGATGGCGCTTCGTGACAGATGACAGAATTGTGCAGAAAACTGTGGAAGTAGAGGTTGCAGTAGAGAGTTGTGGGACAGGCATTTTGAAGCAGTCGCAGTGCACTTTCAAAGGCCAGCCAATTGACTTGGACAGTGATACACCATCAACTGCAACGTTTGAACATCAGCTGCCTTTGGAACAAAGTGAGATTCTGAAGGCAGAACTGGCAAGAATTGAGGAACTTCTTGAAATTGAGCCTGACTGCAGATGGGCTTTGCTTGCTCGAATGCGCCTTCAGCTTGCATGTTCTATACCAGAAGAGACCACACTGGAAGACTTTGAGCGCATGAGTTCATTAGATCCGTTGCGCGCAAATTTCTATGCAGATTCCAAGGCCAATGCTGTTTTGCACCGGCGCTCGTATGATTGGAGTCTGGAAGGATGGCAGCATCCACTGAACCTGGCAAATTTGGGTTTGAAGCATTTGGCGCCAACAGCTGCCGCCTTAATTTTCGGTGTGCGGATTTTGAAGCTTGACGAGAACGCGCTGAAGGACTTTGGCCCATTGCTTGGGCTTGCAAGCTTGATAGAACTGTCAGTCTCAAGAAACCAAATCCGAGGAGATGTGGCGGAAGTTTTCGCCCTGAAGCGCCTGCAAAGGATAGACTTGAGTTGGAACTTCTTGTCCGTGGGGATCAGAGGCAGTCCGCCGCAGACTCTGCGAGAAATCGACATGTCTGGAAATCCAAATATTTTGGACTTGGCCGACGCCTTGGACCTCTTGATGGTGGACCCTGCATCATGGAAACTTCAAGTTGAAGCAGGACAATGCCTGGCTTGCCGGCAGTAGAGGAACTAGAGCGAAGATCAAAAAGTACGGCGACACATCATATTTTTCAGCCCTTGACTTGCATTTTATTGCGCACGATGAGAAGTTTGATCCCTCGTTCTTCGTTGGGGTTTGCAACTCTGTAGGTGGTGCAATCGATCTTAGTACTCTTAGATGCTTCTTATGGTCTTCACTCCTGGGCGCTGCTGTCCGGGGCCTCAGACTGAGCCCAACTTGAGGGACTGTGCTGAACAAACTGATTTGATCGGATTTGCGGTAGTTTTTAGAGTCTTTTGACATTTGCAGCTTTTCGATACTCCATGTGAAGCGTAGGATGAAGCCTGTAGATTTGATCAACGCTGTGTCCTGTCTGACTGGACGTCATGCCACCTTGTTAAGAAGCAAAATTACTCCCAAATCTCAGGCCCCTGAAGACAGATTGTTCACAGGTTTTGAGGTTTTTGAGACAAGAAAGCACCGAGCAGAGAAGCATAATTATTGCATGGGTACAGTTTGGATGTATTTGGAATTGTTTGGATATCAGTGGTATCTCCTGAGCACATTTTACTTTGTGCAGATATCGGTCAGGAACTCACGTCTCCGGAGTAGGACCTGCTGCCAGCGTCGGCGTGGCTTCGAGTCTGATGCTCAGGATGAAACCGTTTCTTCCCGACTCAGTGTTTTTTCATGAACAAAAACCTTTTGGAACGTTCCAGGTCAAAGATTCAAAGATAAGCATGTGAGACGGAAACTCTGAGGCCATGAATGCTGCATGCTGAGTTAACGACCGGCGGAGTTGCCCTTTGGCTGCTTGAAATTCCGGACTTCTATTCCGATGTGTATTCGATTGATTCTGGAGACGATTCTTCTTCAAAACATATACTGTAGCCCTTTCAAGCAGCTATGCTTGACAGAAGCCTCGTTTGCGAAAAATGGCACTGCCGAGAACCTCATTGCAAGCCTAACTCATGGAACATTTCAGGAGCAGTGGCCACTTGAGACTCGAGACACACCTGATGAAACGTTGCTGATGAAACCTTGCTGCATTGCAACCTGATAGATCTCACATGCAACATAAACTAACAGAGCCTAGAAGACTACTCCACAAGCAAGCCATACTGTCAGCCGAATCCACTCTGGAAGTCATTACACTGAACACAGAAGTAATACCATGTAGTCTAGAACAGATGTGTCGTCTTATCCAATGTGCAAGGGCTTTCTGGAGAGTTGGATAACCTATGAGAACGGAACTTACAGCTGGTAAGTTGTCGCTGTTCAGCTTCCATGGTCATCCCATGGTGAGTGCAGATGCGGTCGTGGTACCCGGCCCCACCACAGGCTCGGAAGTTTGAAACAATATTATATACTTATATAATCCTATATTTAACATTACATAACATTTTATACCATTATATATATATATATCCTTCGCAAAAGCAACATGGCACATGCCGCTGCATAATGAGTGATGCATGTGATGAAACTTTTTGACCAAACTTAGAGGTATTCCGACCCTTGCAATTCTGGGAGGCCGACCTCTCTGCTTGGGCAAAAGGTCCAATCTTTAAGGGCGATGCCAAGGCGGTCGAGGAATGCGACAGAATTGCATTGCTGACTTGAAAGCAATGTATTTAGTTTTGCAAGTTTCATCCATTCCTATCAATCCTACATTCTAGATGTTTAAGCATCTTGTAGCTCTCGACTTGTCCTTGAGGAGCTGTTTTCAGTGCCATGGAACCGGGCAAAGCCCTTGGCTCTTCGGGGAATCACATTTGATGTACCGACAAAGACATGTTCTTTGTGACATAGTTAGAGCTGTCATCCTGTCTGATCTTTTCCATCTGACAGATCAAGCACCTATTCCCAACTCTAGGCGCCTACACCTACACCTGTGATCACGAGGCCAGTGGAGGCTTGGAATTTGATTGCGTCTCTCAACAAAATGCTAGCCTTGCTGTGACATACCACATCCACTGTCCACTTGTTCTGCACATGTTTTGTTTGTATGTTCCACATTCCCTTGTCCACAAGCTCTCACTGCCTTTGGGCCATGTCACAAACCAACCATGCGGCACTTGGCGCACGCAAAGCCGCTGAGCTCCTTTGCTTAACTAAGCTGATCATTGGATGCGCATCAACTGCCCCGTTCTTTGGATGGTGAAATTCCAAGACTTTGGAGTTTCCATTGTAGGAGACTTTGCCTCAAAAGCCTTTGCCTTCAAAGCCACTGCAACAGGATGCAACTGCAACTCTTCACTTGGATTCTCCAGTCATGATGCCTTCGACATCCTGAACCAACTGATAGTCTAAGTACGTTTTGGCAGATTAGTGTTCCCAGGAGCAAGACATGCCAGACAGGATCAAAGATCCTTGCACCTTAGCTCAGGGCAAATCTCCCAAGCTCACATTGTAATGTTTCAACTCTACGCGTTTGGCAGCCCTGCCACCAGATCCGCGGATGCATTGTTTGTTCATGTTTCTGAATGGAAGTTGAGTGACGCAATTTGGAGTGTTTGTCGGGGAAGGTAGCGACGATTGCCCCGCAATTGCGGTCATCTCCGCAAGGAGCTGAGAGGACTTTGACTCTCTGAGTGGTCACGGCACTGATGGTCCATTGCATGCGCGGACACTGGAGCCTTTGCTCACTAGACTGAATGACATTCACATGCTGAACCAGCTCATACCGCGCGTGTGTGACGCTCGGAAGCTAAGTGCGTTTCTCCAAGTGTAACGTGTTATTTCAGGTCCGCTCCCCTGCTAAACGCAGCCTCTCCGGGTGTGTCGGTGACTCAAAGTGGGCGAGGTACCGAGGTTGAACCGAGGACTCAAAGTGGGCATAGTCTGTTCAAAGCGCGCCCAGTTTCATAACTAGAGGGAAACCTGCTATAGCATTCATCATTCATCTCAGATCTTCCAAAACCCTGCGCTCCTCTAGGCCCAAGTACTTCTGAGCAGCATACAGAGCCACAGCAGAAACAGCACATCTTTGGGCATTTTGGACCGGAACTGGACAACTTCATTCTCAGTGCACTCTGCCTGAGGCCTGGCCCCGCTTTTCAGTTTGTCGGGAGCCCGGAGTGCAACAAGGACCTCTGAATCATTCCAAATCAACATTTTGCAAAACCTAATAGCAATGGCCTCCAACTTCCAACCTAATAGCAATGGCCTCCAACCTACTTGCGATGGCCTCCACCCACCTACTGGCGATGGCCTCCAACCTACTGGCGATGGCCTCCAACCTACTCGGGTTGGCCTCGAACCTAATAGCACCAACCTAATAGCAATGGCGTCCAACCTACTAGCGATGGCCTCCACCCACCTACTGGCGATGGCCTCCAACCTACTGGCGATGGCCTCCAACCTACTGGCGACGGCCTCCAACCTACTGGCGATGGCCTCCAACCTAATAGCAATGGCAACCAACCTAATAGCAATGGCCTCCATCCTACTAGCGATGGCCTCCAGCCTAATAGCGATGGCCTCCAACCTACTGGCGATGGCCTCCAACCTACTCGGGTTGGCCTCGAACCTAATAGCAATGGCCTCCAACCTACTAGCGATGGCCTCCAACCTAATAGCAATGTCGTCCAACCGTCCAACCTACTAGCGACGGCCTCCAACCTACTGGCGATGGCCTCCAACCTAATAGCGATGGCCTCCAACCTATTCGCGTTGGCCTCCAGCCTAATAGCAATGGCCTCAACCTACTAGCGATGGCCTCCAAGCAATTGATTTCTATAGGACGTTTCTGAAATTCACTCTTGACCATTTGAAGCGGTTGAACACTGGTCATGTCCACAGCATGTCGCTCGATGATCGCCTCGCCAAGGCACAAATGCCACGTGATCGACCTTCGAGTCCACAGGCCGGCACGATGCCACAGTGTAACGAGAACTGGCTCAAAGATTTGGTCAAATTGAGCAAGGCTTTTTGGTAACGAGAACTGGCTTCACTGGCTTTGGCACCTTTTCAATTCGCATTCAAAACAAAGCTCAGAACAGGTGCAAGCGCCTTTCCTTAGAGGCTCGACTGCGGTGAAATGCAGTGACATCATGTGGCAATCCTACAGTCCCAAGATTGAAAAGGTTTGAAAACAGCAGTCGCGAGATTTTGCAGGCCTGTCTGCGGCCCCGCAGCAGCAAGAATCCTTAGAAATCGTAACAGTGTCTTATCCGTCGTCTTGTCCCTGGTCACTTTCAGCTGCGTGCTCCCGGGTTTGCTAGGTGCGTTTTTACTCAGATGCCTGGACCGTGCAGGCGCTCGCGGGCAGTGGATGCATGTTCCACACCAGTCAGTAAAGACTTACGTAAGATAACTTGCTCAGGCAGCGAAGTGCACCTGTTCTTCTTGGAGCACAGCAGGCGGAACTTGTTCAGAAAGTTTTGCAATCACTGCAAGCGGGGTTCAAAGCCTCTTTGATCTTTTCTGGCTGGTTTTGCCGCTGTGGCTGATTCACTTTGACAAATTGCTCGAACTGACATTGAATTACAGACAAGGTTTTTAGTCAGCGGTAAGAAGGATGATTGAACACTCATTGTTTAACTGGGAGGTGTTGAGTATTTTGTGGACAGGGTTTTGATGGTTGTTCACGAACATGTGTTCACAGGGGGTTCGTTAGTTCGTTCGTTCGTTCGTTTGTTTGTTGAACGCGAGACAGTGCATCTTCGACACTGCCGCAGCGTGGGTGAGCGTATGGTGGATGAAGAAGTTCATCCCGCCACAAAGCAAGAATTGATCAAAAGGATGGCTGAATCCCAGGCTGTGGAACAGACTTTTCAAGTGGGTATACCGCCACAAAGAGCGAACGCCTTGAAAGCCAGAAAAAGATGATCCATGTGACCAGGTGCACTTGTTTTTCTCAAATATTCGAAAACGGAAAATGCATTTTGTGTGGGCCTGCCGATACGAATACACGGTGCCCGAAAGGACGTGAAACCTCGATTAAGCATAGCATCATATAGTCATAGCTGCAATATATAGAGAGCTGGGATTGGCCTTGTCTTTTTGGTTCAGAACGTGTGACCGTGACGCGCTGAAATGTCAGGCACCTGCTGTGGCCTCTGCAAGCTCAGGCAGGTTAGATCAAACAAAGCCTGTTTGAAGCTCAGAAGTGGCAGCTGGATGGAGCTTTTGCAGGTAGTGCTCAAGTGCAGCAGCAATACAAGGCCAGGATTTCATCAACGTCCGAAGGGGACCTGATTGACAAGGTAGGCATCACTTTACATTTGAACAATCCTTTCAGGCCAGTCACACCCACTTTGACACTTTTCTGTTTCCTTTCGGCATGTTTCGGCTTCGCCAGGATGTTTCTATCCGTCCACCTGCCACACCAGACAGAGGCCACTGCTACCAACAGCAATGTTTTTGTACACAGTACACAGTGCTCGTGCTCGTGAAGAACTTTGTGGAGGTTCGCAGACTCCAGTGGCAGTGGTGCGCACAACAACCCCGCGCTCTTTGCATGTGCAGGCTTGTGACATCGTATTGCTGCTCAAAGTTCATTGTCTCGATGACATCAGAAACAGAAGTGCAGTGCACTATGCACACATGCAGATGCATGGTGATTACACTGGTTATTCGTATGTTTGGCAAAGTATGCACCCTGCCTGTGTGCATACATAAGCGGCATACCGCATACCTCATGAAACACAAACACATTGAGTTATTCATTGATTTCGTTGGGCAAGCAGAGACTGATAGAAGCAGCCGAGTGTTTAGGGTTTAGGGTTGGCCGTAGCCTTAGCCGCCTGATGATTTTCCACATAGTCGACGTGTGCACCCATCGACCTCTACACACTCTGCAGAAATTCACTTGAAAATGAATCGGAGTGCCATGAGGGCCATGAGGATTTGAAACAGCTTTTGACTTGTACCGTTGACGTTGAGAGTTTTGTTTATTTTCGCCACAGAGCACACTGACTGCTTGACACAGGCGCAAATGCCCATGAGAAGGCACGTTTTGTAGCTGAACATCATAACCGAGTCGGCTTGACACCGAGTCGTTTTTGAAGGCAAGGCGAGGCAGATGGAGGTCTCAAACCACCTCCACCAGGTGCATTATGCATTGCACGAATTGCAAAGTAGGTCACAGTGGATAGTTTGTACCTCCACTTGGTAAAGTTCCCAGCATTGGGCACAGGTGTGACCGCCCCTTTTGCAACGTTCGCCACCTGAATCTGGAGTTGAGCATGTGAACAAACAGACTTGAATGGCGAACGCGGAGAAGAAACACAGAGATTAAAAAAGAAGCTAAGGTGCCTTTAAAGGGGCCTTAGCTTCCTTTTCTCACCTCTCTTTTCTTGTATTTTCTTCTCCAAGACCCTCGATGTTAATCAAGGCTCTTCGAACACTCAGGCCTGATGGTATCTCTGCTTGTTCAGCATTGCCTTGCAGGCAGGAGAGAGTCCGAGGCTGCACGTCCAAATTTGTCTAACACGTCGACGGAAAGATTGAAACACAAACTTCTTGACTCTGTTTGCAGCGGAGTCAACTCCAGGCAGCAAAGTGCACCCATACTGGTTGCTCCACCACAGGCTGGCCAACATGTGCGGCTTTTGAATTTCTAGAGTTAGGAAGCAACAAGCTTGACAACAGAGTCAGATATATAAGTGCTGCATTTTTGTCAGACTATGTTGGGGCTGAGACACAGAATATCGATTACTGTAATTAGCCGTAGGGTCGAAGGGACAAGCCACTTCTAATTCGGTTCATTTGACAAATGCAACTTTTTGACAGGTTACAGTTGTCACGACAACTCTGCCAAGTTCACACGCTTCACAACCAGCCCCAATTCCACAAGGCCTTGACAATCAAATACGAGAGTTCCCAAAAGCACAGAGAGCACAACAGAAGGGGGGAGTGGGAACTCTAAAAGAGAATTGATGAACACTTGCGAGACCGCAGGCCCATGGATGAGTGAGCAGAAATCAGAGGAGAAGAAGGTCGACCGCTAATGCAACATGTTGGAGCATGGAGCAGGTCTTTTGCTCACTGTTAGATTCTTACTCTACTGAGACTCTACTGTGCTCAGCTATAGTTTGATAACAGGCAGAGGTGTCCTCACTAGTTCACAAGCTTTTGCAGGCCACTTGGTTTTGAGGTTTCTTGATTCCCCTGTTGAACTTTGCTTGTTCTGTGTAGAGGTGAAGTTCTCCAAGGGGAAAGATGAATTGGTAAAGTTCTCAGCTCTTGGAAGGCTGATGTTGTTTTGATCAACATCGCCGGCCTGAGGCAGACTTGCTTGCCAGACAACGTCGCCGTTTCTTGGATGGGTTTGCCTTGGAAGCCTTTGTGTTTGCTTGGGACAAAACCATTGAACCAATGTCATTTTGTAACACAGGCATGCTGCGTTCAAATATCAGCGGAACCAGATAATGCTTCCCATTTCAACAATCAAGGTCGGGTGCTAACGGGTAGCTGTTTGGCTGCTTGGGCCGCGCAGTGGAGGGCATCAAACCGTGCCGGGGGCTGAAAAGTGGTTGCTCCTTGATGTCATGCCAAGTGCGTGCAAACTGGTTGGTCCAACACTAAACCCGAACACGAATCCTTCGACAAAGTAACGAATCCTCAGTACTCGTAACAAGTAAACAATTGTAGCCAGCCATCCGAATCCTGATAAATTTCTGTGCGCTTCTTGCTGAGTCTAGTTGGCAGGGAAGAAATTGACCGTTCTTCCAGAAGCTTTGAAATCGGATAGAAGCTGAGCTTCTTCCAGCTTTTGACAGCGTGCAAGGCATTGCTGACGACTTCAAGTGAGCAGTGTCGCAAGCTGCAAGAAGAGGCCCGTTTATCAAAAAAAAGGAAAGCGAAAGGAGAGCAAGAGAAGTTCCTGACACAGCTTTCAGAATCTTTCAGATGATGTTGAGCAGCTGTTGACAAAAATCTACGAGTACCGAGATCTTGGCTTTTGTGTAGATGCAAAAGCCAGGTTTGATTTGGCCTTGATTTGGCCAGGTCAATCAGAAATCAGCCGCTGCACAGAGAGCAGAAGCAGAGCTCACGAGGTTGGGCGTTGAGGGGCAGCAAGTCATGAATGTATACATTGGGTTTCAAGTTTGAAGACTGCCCCACGAAATAGGGCGTGTTGAATTGTTCAGAATTGTTACGATGCCTAATATGAAACAGTGTCGTTCCAACCAAGCGCTGCCGATCTCAGAAGAAAAGGTGTCCACTTTGAACTCTCTCCATGGTACCATTTGGCTAGCAGCTAGGAACCTTGACACATACTCATACTCAGCAGATTTGATCAACTCTTCAACGCTGAAGTACGATATATAACTAATCTTTCAAGACTGGCGATTGGGTGCAGGCGCACTGAAGATGAGTTCAGACGTTTGCGAGAGGTTCAGACAGAGCCGGGGTGCCCAGCACGCTTTTGAATGTTGATAGTGATAGTGGTCATGTAGAAGCGAGGTTCCATGAGTCAAGGCTGCTCGAATGTGTATATAATTAGAAGGCCTTTGCATACTGACTTGAAGCTGGACACAGAGGGATCGATTTTCTCGACATGCAATCTCTACCGCTCGGATCCTTACTGCAGGCTTTCACAGCTGCAACAGGAGGCTTGGCCTTTCAAGCTTCCGTATCGTGAAGTATGACTGATAGACGAAGATTTGTTGAGAGACAAGGCCCCAGCGCTGCAGGCGAGGCCACAGGCCCAGAAGGTGCAGCGAAGGGTGGAAGCCGCATTTTGCCTGGGGAGTTCTTCGTCCTTTGAACTTGACACATAAGCCGCATGTTTTAATGGTCGCACAAGTGCTGTTTGCCACCATAGGGTCGAAAGTTACGGATAGTCATCCGCACACGAATGAGATCAAAGCATGACCGTACAACAACTGTACCAAAAAGGCCATAGGACGCTGGTCTCTCAGGGAGGACATACATTGATCACCACAGGGCTGTAAAGGTACAAAAGAATCCAATAGGGGTCTGAGGGGAGAGGATTTGCAATTTGCATATTTGTATCCTGCCAGCTCTTTTCGCTGAGATATAGACAGAATTAGATTCTTTACCAAACAGACTGTCACATTGTGACATTGTGAGGAACAGATTGTGCTTGCTCCGCCAGTTGATGGCCAGTTGATTCAGAAAAGGAAAATGGATTCATGTGCGAATACCGGGAGAGTAACGTTTTGCTACGCTTTGTCACCGCCATGCCGGACCCTTGGGACAGCAAAACCGCTGGGCACTTGGACAGGAAAAGCTCTGTCAGCTCGGCGTGTCTCGGCACGGCTCCAACAGCTGAGGTCATCGGCCTATTTTGTGATCCTTACGTCGCCAACACAAACTTGGAGGGCGGCCACTCAGAGCCACAGCAGCAGACTATGACCTCTTTGGTGACCTCTTAGATCTTGTGTGTGGAAAGCTTCATGAATTTGGATGGTCCGCAGGAGTTCTTCTCATGAAACTGTAGACTAATTGCTCAGCAGAAAGGATCACATGTCACTGTCTGTTCCCACATGACAGTCAACATGACTTTTTCTATCCCATTCGACTTGTTGTCGCAAACTAGTTGTGCGACGCCATGGGTTGTGGAGCCTCAAGCGATGAGCAAGCTGTTGGGCCACCTGGGTCAAGCTCAAGGACAGAGAATGTCAGTCCAGAGATGGATGCATGGGGGAAACCACTCGTTATTCCCATGTCTGCAGTGTCAGCATTAGAGAAGCCAGCTGATGATGATTCTACTGCACAAATGGAGCAAGTCGTGGAAAGCAAGCTCAAAGACGCGAAAGCTGGAGACGATGGCTACGATAAGAACGTCGAGCTAAGCGAGGATGAGCAGCAGCAAGTCAAAGAATGGCTTGAGATGGTCAAAGACTTCGACAATGTGGATTTTGACGCAGACTTTGGGGGCAGCATGAACACCGCTGAAGAGATCTACAAGGCCTTCAAAGCTCTGCCAGCCAAGGTCAGAGCCATGAAAAAGGTCGTGGATGGAACATGGAACGTTGCATTCCCTGTAGGTGCTGCCGTGGTTGCAAGCATGGACATCACAGTAAACACTCCTCAAGAGGAGATTGACAAGAAGTACATGAAGATTTTCCAGGAGTATCCATGGTATGGTCCTGCCAGTGGGGAGCTCCGCCGCATCAAAATCCGTGAGAGGGTTCGAGGGAAGGCCTATGAACCCTATGATCGCCTCTCTTTGGATCCATGGGATGGAAACATTGACTACGACCAAGACGAGCTTCAAAATTACATTTCTGAACACTTTGAACGTGCTCAAGGTGTGAAAGCATTTCTCTTCAGCAGACGAGCAGATCCTCAACATCCAGATCATGTATACTTTCAGGACGGTCCGGCCATTGTGGATTATGTGAACGAGTTCCTAGGAGAAACCCGATATGTGGACACCTTCACGCAGACTTCCGACACAAATCATGGAAACACTTGGGGTATTCCGAAGAACTATTCAGAGATGCAAGTCTTCAGTGAAGGCGTTGATCCAAATGATATCATGCAGGGCTTCATTGGCAATTGCTGGATGGTATCAACCATTGCAACTGTGGCCAGATGGCCTCAGCTGCTCGAGGAAGGCATATATCCGAAAAGCTTTTCGCCTTCGGGCTGTTATGCCGTACGTCTGTGCAGCAAGTGTTCAGAGACGAAGCCGCAGGATGTCAGATGGGCATGGATCATTGTGGACTCTATCTTTCCTCGGGATGAACGCGGGCAGACCGCTTGTGCGAATTCCAGGGATCATTTGGAGTTGTGGCCCATGATTTTAGAGAAGGCCTTGGCCAAAATGCATGGTTCCTATTCCTTAATGGTCGGTGGAGGAGGAGGCAAACCAGTGGGCTACGGAGGTTTGCTGATGGCGCTGAGCGGCGGCCCATGGTATTGGATGACCATTGGCAAGGAGCTGAAAACCGAAGAGAAAGTTTCGAACTATCTCCGATGGATGAGACACAAGGCTCAGCGTTTGCTTGTCGTGTCTTGCTCCGCAAGCCCCTCCGACAAAGAGCGCCTTGGCCTTGTTGGCCACCATGCATACTCCATTTTGGGTATGCATTCCATCTTTGAAGAGGACAATGAGATCCATTTGGTGGAGCTTCGAAATCCTTGGGGCTGGTTCGAGTGGAAAGGCAAATGGTCAAATCACGACTGGCAAAACTGGATGAAAAATAAGCGGCACAATCAAGTTGCACGCTTCCGGGAGCTCTTCGATTGGGAAAGGATCAAGGAAACTGATGGCAAAGAAGGCATGCCTCGAGATGGGCAGTTTTACATGGAGGTAAAGGACTTCATGCAGTACTTCACAACAATCACTGTTGTCAAGGTTCCATTTAAGTTTGATGTCGGATGCGGCTTCCGGGATTTTTAAGGCAGTACAGATTGCACAAAGGTGCACCATCAGTTGATAGACGACTTCAGAAGGGAAGCGAATAGCACCTTCGCATGGACAGAGCTTTTTGTTTAATATGTTTCACCGCAGTGCTGACTTCGAAGGAGTAGCAACATTGCTTCTGAGTAATGCAAGGTGGTTCAGGCATAACTCACGGTTTCAATTACTCATTCGATCTGATCTCAATATTTACGTATGATTATTCACTGTTATTCATGTATGTGCATACATTTCGCTGAGGAGGAGACGCTGAGGGATGTTTCTGGCTGGTTGAGCGACCTCAAGAGTGCTGCCAAGTTCTCCTCCAAGGCCGGGCAAAAAGGAACCAGAATTGGCTCAGCTCAGAAGCAGCCAATCTTTCAAGAGCCTGCAAAGTGTGCAAATAGAACACATAGGAACAACCAGGGAAACAATGGGAACAGGAAGGACACACAATAGGACCCCACAGCGAATACATAGGGCCTTTTTTCATATGTATTTCTGACATGTTTTAAACCATCTTTAATACTTTGTTTCTTTGGGGATCCTTTTAACAATTTCATGATTTTGTGATTCCAATCCCAAGATTCATTTGGCACAACACATTACTTCAAGGCCTTTTTTTCTTTCTTTCTCTCTCTCTCTCTCTCCCTCTCTGTCTCTTTCTATTCCTCTTACCTTTCTCTTTCTCTTCCTCTTCCTTTTGGTCTTTCTCTTCCTCGTCCACTTGTTGCTTTGGCTCTGGCTCTTTCTCTGTCTGTCTCTCTCTCTCTCTCTCTCTTTGTCTCTCCCTCTCTCTCTTTCCCTTTCACTTTCTTTTCCTTTGTATCTTTCTCTTTCTCTTGCTTTTTTTCTTTCTCTTGCTCTTCCTCTTTCTCTTCCTCTGTCTCTTTCTGTTCCTTTTCCATTTTCTCTTTCCCTGGAAGAGGAAGAGAAGCAGAGCATGTCAAAACACAACATGCTAATAATGCAAGAGCACACGGAAAGCATATCTCGCACCACGGGCATTGGAAAACGATTTCACATCGATCAACAGATCCATCTTGAAACTATATGTTGATCCATCTGACATAATTTCGACAAACTGCGATTAAAAAAATGCATTTGTGTAAGCTCTTCTCAGTGGCAGGCGAGGTTCCACGTGCCTCCGATACAAGCCCGCGCGTTCTCGCGGTTGGTGGCTTGCTTATCCGGTAGGAGGGAGCGCCTCTCCGACTTCTCAGGCCAACCGCAAGCGGAGGGAAAGTCTGAGAAGCCGGGGCAAAGGTGTCCCAGGCACTGCCCATGCGTGGGAAGGAGGCTGTATAGATCAGCCACAGCTGCGTCGCGTGCCCAATAATTTGGGCGCGGGCGCGTGGACGAGGACGGAGACAGGCGTCGTGCGAAGCATCCCGGAGGGTCGCGAATTGGAGATGGTAGTCAGCACCCTGGTATGGGGGCAGGGAACAAAAACAAGGAACCGCAAGTAAGAAAAACCGCAAGTAAGAAAAAAACATGAACCCTAGACCAAAAACCTTCCAAACCCACCTGACAAATTGGTTGCGGATAGGGCTGAACCAGGCAAAATCCATGCAACACCCACAAGCAGCAAAGGACTTTGAGAAATGGGCTCGTGAGCCCAAATGAAGCCATGCGACGCCCAAAAAGTGTCTCGAATATACCCAAACCATCCAAGTTCCCACACACAGGCCAGCAAAAGAAGAGAAAAAAACACATGCGATCAACCAAAGAAACGCATACGTAGAATTTACGAGGTTTTTTACACTTCTGCGGAAGCAAGCGCTGTAAATAGCGATTGTTCCCAGCTATCAGGTGCTCAAAAGCGTGGTATTTAAATTAAGGTTCTTTTTTGTGCTGTCTGCAAAAAGGATTGTATTTACAGTGTTTTGTGTGGACACTCTTGCAAAAACGTTGATATTTCCGCTGTTTTTGCAGCGTTGCAACATATGGTTTATTGAATCGAAAATTACAAAACCACTGTAATTTATAGTGTTCTGCGCCTCGGCGCGTGCCGAAAAAACAACCAAAATTCTGCTCCAAAAATACATCCTAGACCGCGCGCAGGGGGGAATCGAACCCGAGACCATTTCGAGACCGTCTTGTTTTTCCGCAGTTCGGACGGGTGCCCGGACCTCCTAAGAAGGAAAGGAAGATGACGGCTACCAGGATGGCTACCGGGATGGACAGCCCTCAACAAGAAACGCAACTCCCGATGGAGATTAAACCCTCCCTCCGGGAGCTCAGGGAGGGCCGTCCTGTATCTGCTTCTGAATCCAATTTGCCGAGCTTGTACTTGCTCAGGAGTCAAAAGTAAGGTGGAGGAGCCACGATACTTCGGAA